GCAAGTTAAATTGAAATATTTTTATTTTCTTGCTGATCCGAAAAATGATCCGATCCGTGGGTCAAAAACCGTAATGTGATCCGAACCGTGAGATTTGTGATCCGTTGAACCACTAATGAATGCATTACCTCGCTCAAACTCTCACTGATGTTAGGGATGATTTAATGCTCATAGACGCTGTCTTATGGAGCTCTCCTTCCTCAGAAGGGCCGGAGGGAGGGATAGTTGGATGTAAGGAATGGGGGATGGGATGGAGAGAGTGTGAAAAGCTGCTGGGTTGGATGAGTGAATTTTGACCCTGCACTGCCAATTAATCCTAGCTCTTTTTAATTGGGGCTGAATGGACTCCAAAGGGCAGTGTTGAGATGCACAGACACTATATTGTAGCCGTTAGGCATTAAAGATGCAAGCCTCATTTGCATATAAACCAGGTCTTACGGGTGCAGTTCACTGGTCTCTGAACACAAGCAAACGACTTAAGCCCGATGTGTGTGTCTCTCTGTAATGCCTCTTATCTCCCTTTTCCTCCAAACACCCCCTCTTCCCTAACTTTACAGCCCTCTCATTTCACCTCTTTGATCAGGGAAGTGGCGCACCACTGAAATGACAGTGGCTTGGTTTAAGCACAGGTTTGCTACAGTCCAAAGAACAGAGATTTCAGTAATGAAGGGCTTCGTTCCCTCCCAGAGCTTTCGATCCCACCGCATGCTCCTGCCCAGCGGCTCGCTCTTCTTCCTGCGTATCGTACACGGCCGTCGCAGCAAACCCGACGAAGGCTCCTACGTTTGCGTGGCCCGTAACTACCTGGGAGAAGCAGTCAGCCACAACGCCTCACTGGAAGTAGCTAGTAAGTGCTCGGCTGGGTTCTTATCGCACTGGGTTCTTGCGGTTTATGGGTGTCTACATATAGTGTGCGATATTAAGATTTCAGATGTGTTTGGATACCATAGGCTTAGCAGTTCAGTTTTGAATGATTCGTATCGTCTTCCAGGAGCGGTTTGAAAGCAGGCCAGTCTTAATTTGGCTTTGTGTTTGTGACTTTCCTGGCCTTGAACTGAATATAAGCTGAATAGAAAGCGTTTCCAGTTTCCTCTTGGGTCTCTGGGTCTCAATGGACTCAGTGGGTCGGATAATCTCGCTGGAGATGGGCATGATATGACTGTGCCACTGGACCTGCATGGTGATCCTGATGGAGGAAACGGGCCAGACGGCCTGAAGAGAACAGAATAGGTCTCAGTAGGTGGTCGTGAGCTATAAAAACCTTAAATGAACTCACAATAGTTTATGATATTTACAGTATAGATCAAGATCACAAGATAGCGGTTACCTTTAACTGTTAAACTTTATTGATGTGTGCTGTATCTCTCTGTCCGGTTGGCATTTGTAGTTTTTCTTTTTTCATTTGATTCAAGGAGTTGTGCATCAATGGGGTCGATTTTTATCCTTTTTAAAAAGGATTCACAAAACCGTTTTTGTGTACAGACTCAAAGCAGATACTTTAAATGGGCTTATTACTTAAAACTTGTGGTTTTCAGCGATTCTCCTTGGCCTCGGACGTGATGTGCATTACATACCGTCTCTCTTTAAGCTTGAAAGGACTGATCTCGGATATCAACCGCTTTTCAAGTATGCCTAGGAGCTGTCACCAACCCTCTTGTTGTAATTTAATAGAGTCAGTGCTGGACCTGGAGGGGGGCGACTCGCTCGTGTAGTGTGTACCAATGGCATGTCTTACTCACCCTTAAGATCTTCTATTAAAAACTGGCCTTACCCTTATGGAAATGTATTGTAGTTTTTGCATGCATTACAAAAATTGATTTATTATTCAATATTTGTATGTTTTTTTTTATTTTATGTAATAAATACATTAAGTGTATGTCATTATATATGATTTTGATAAGACTTGTTTTCAGATAATTATTATGTTCTCTGAATTTTACTTGTTATTGTTTTAAAAAGTAAATTTACAACATTTACTGAGAGTTATTCTTAAACTAATCTATTCGAGCAAAGGAATAAGAGAAATAAACTGAATTCAAGTTATATTCTCTGAAAAGATTTTTAATAGAGTTTTGAGAGTTTTAATATCTTGCAAAATATTTTGTCTGAATTAAATGTATCTTGTTTCCCACTAAATATCTTATATAAAAGCCTTAAAACATTAAAACACTGATTAAAAAAAAAAAAAGATTTTTGAAATCTGGTGATTGTCGTTTAACTGTGAACACCAACCAAAAATTATGAAAAAAATTGTAATGTTATATATATATATATATATATATATATAGCTATTTACTAAATCTACTGAGAGTTATTCTTAAAAATCTATTTGGGTTACAGGGTTATATTATAAGTTATATTCTCTGAAAATAAATTTTAATATCTTGCAAAATTTTGCTTCTGAAGTAAATGTTTCCAGTAAATATATAATGTAAACACCTTAAAACATTGATTAAGAAAAAAAGATATAGTAATTTGAAATCTAGTAATTATTGTTTAACTGTCAACACCAACGAAATTTACATAAATAAATAATAATAAAAAAACAATAATAAATGTACTTAATTGTGTGTGTGTATATATATATATATATATATATATATTTACTTAAATTTTGTGGAAGCTTTTTTATTTACTATTTATAAATAGGAAGTAATATAACTGAAAATAACGCTGATTCTTTGACCCTCCAAACATTTAACTATTGGGCCAAAATATCATGGTTAATACAGTTAGTGTTACTATTGTAAAACCATTGTACATTTTCGTAAGAGTACCAGTTGTAAAGCTAAAGTGTTTTTATTAGCTTCTGTAGGCCAGTGCTGGTCAAACAGAAACATAAATTTGTATATGTTGAAGTTGGTGGGAAAATTATGAGAGCTCAGAGACTGAAAAGTGAGAAAATATCATGCGGTATATCAAGCAGAGGGTGATATACTGTATACTATTTGTTCTGGAGGCCCTCTTTTTTTTTTTTGGCAAGAACG